ATAATCTGTATTTCCTTGTTTTCTAAGTAGGTTGAACAGAAAATGAATCTAATCCCTCACCTATATAAAGTAAGACTTTTGCAATGATGTCTTAGACACCTGGGGACACATGGTTTGGAGTTCTGATATGTCATTAAGGCATTTCTCTTTACTTTGAGAAGAAAGCTTTAGTCAGAATGACCAGGGTCAAGGAAATGGGTCCAGACAGGAAAACCTCAGTGTGTGAAGAACATCAGAAGGACCTGGGGCTAGAACAAATTTCAGAATCCACAGGGGAGATCACAAGCTAAATCAAGTCCAGAGAGCCCAGGGCAGATGGTAGTCAGTGACTTGTATCCAAAGTTCAACATATGGTAAAGAAGCACCAGGAGGAGTGAAGGTGGGCGAACTGGTGGTGATTTGGACGACTTTCCCGAATGGGTTTGTAGAACAGCAGAAAGATGTCCTTCAACTGCATTTGACAGCCTGTTCCTATAAAATACCAAGTAGTCTAAGGGTCTGGTCCACCATGCAAACATTTCCAGGGTGTTTTAAAATTAATTACAGGGGTGACAGATATATATATATGTGTATATATATATATATAATAAAGCCGTATCTTGACTGTTGTAATAATCCCAATGTGATTAAATAGAAAATTAAAAACAATAGATTCTATACTAGGCATCCTCAAAATCATCATTTGATTTCTGGTAGATGTAATAAAATCTAAAAATGTGAAGTTAGAACCAGTGTATCAGACTTGGGTAAGCAGAGGGAGGAATCCCAGATCCTAAAAGAAGTAAAGGTGAATATTCTTTTTTTTTTTTTTAAGGGAATTTGGGGGTTGGGATGAGCATAAGCACACAGTTGCCTTGTTTTTTATTCTTTCCTTTTTTTTTTCCTTGAGACAGAGTTCTACCCTATGCCCTGAGCAGAGTGCAATGGCATCGTAGGTCACTGCAATCTCAGACTGAGGCTGTGGGCATCTTGCTGCCTCACCCTCTAAAGCTGCTGGGATTACAGGCGCTCGCCGTGAGCTGGGCTGAGCTTTTCAATTTTTTTCTTTTCTTTTTTTTTGGCCGGGGCTGGGTTTGAACCTGCCACCTCTGGCATATGGGGCCAGCGCCCTACTCCTTTGAGCCACAGGCGCTGCCTGGTTTTTAATTTTTTTCATGAGTTAGGGTCCCACTCTTGAATTCACTCACTACAGAATAGAGGTGCTCACATAGACTCCCACCTCTGCCATCGCTACTGGGAATTTCCAGGAAGTGGTGGATAAAAATGGTTTCCGCTGAATTCTGTCTCTGGAATCTCAGGGACATGAACGCCTTGACTGGAGGTGGGTAGCATCAGGTCATAAAGGGAGGCGTTCCAGGCCTTAGAGCCAATACAAAGTTCCTAAGCGCATTTGAGGGGACTGCCACAGTAGAAGAGCGTGGTCCCCACAGAGTTTCGGTCTTTACTGTCAATCCAGGCAGACGGTGAGTAGGGCATGACTGGTGTATTGCCCCTCTGAATCCCCCCTCTGGGGACTCAAGAGGGTGAGGGCATTGGACCCTAGGGACCCATTAGGTATTGGCCCTAAAGTCCACATAAACTGACGTGGGTAACTGTGGCCCATTACTGCCCTCAGCTTTGGGAGCACCTGTCATTGCTGTGAGGCTCAAGACCTCTTTCATTTCACCTTCTAGAAACTGGGGGAGTGATGTGCCTTGCTGTAATACCTCCTAACCGGTTAACGGGGGAAGAACACCAGCCTGTAGTCAATAAAAGACCCCTGTATGAGTTTTAAGAGAATCCTGCACTTAACAACAGTGTGGGACCCCTCAGAGCCGCCTTCTTGTCAGCCCTCAGGGACCCCCAGCAAGGTTGGCCGGAAGCACTGCACTTGATATCCGCTCCGTGGTCTCAAAGAAACCGTGGTGTGGCGTGGCGTTGACTAAGGGAGGAGTTGCCGATCCTGCTCGGAATCAAGTAAGGACTCTGAGCTGAGTTAGATGTGGGGAGACATCTATCTCAGACTAGAGGGACTCTCAGGGATCTATACCTGCTATAAGTTCTGACAGATCCCAAATCTGCATTGTCTAATGCCCTGAGTACTTTCTAAATTCCCCCTGAGTAGACGACAATGGGCAGAGGGTGGAGAGGGGGTGCTTGGTGGAGGAGGTGAGGGTTGGGGGCTGGGGCAGTGGGCAGGGAGATGTTGGTATTGGACCAGAGTGTTGTTGGCTTCATACCAGCAGAGGCAGGGTTGCCAGAATCAAAAAGTAAAAGTGAAAACCCTGAGGGAGGTCTGTGGGGAATCCCTCCCTCGGAAAAGAGGGGGCCTCGTGGAGCCCCGCCCCTTCTGCCCCCAGAGACCAACATGGCGGTGTACTGGCTTCCGGCTTCTGCCATTGTTGTGGTGGCACGAGGAATGTGTTTGGGGTGGGGTGCATGAGGAACGTGGCAGGGGAGTGGGGGTGC